CTAGGTTTGCAATCGGCCTTTGATTATCATGGCACTGGTGATGATGCAGTTAGGTCGCGTCTTCTTTAGTTGGAAAACGCATAACCTTCCTAAGCAATAGCAAATGAGGGGAGAATATTTCGACATTTTTTTCACGGGTAGCACCATAGAACTTTGGCATGAATGTATACTTGATGACAAGGTAGTCAAAAACGATTAAGAAAAAATCCCAGAAGGTATCGCTTGAAAGATAGTCAAAAACGGTTCTTTCCAGTTGAGCTGACACTTTGACAGTGAATGAATCAACAGCTTAAATTGAGTGTGTCCGATAGATGGTTGAAAAAGAATTGAAAACCGGTGTCAGCGAACTTTTGTATGGGATGCTGCATTCTACTTCTATTCAGAAATGTAGTGGCACCTTAAGGGAGGAAGCAGCTGATCTCAAGTCAATGTTTGCATCCTCTCAAACAAGTTTGGTACCAATTAACAAACCTAGTAAAATTGAAAGGCGGGCTGGCCTTAAGTAGGATCCACAATTTAATACACGGACCATAGGGGTGGTGAGCAGCGCAGAGCCACTACCACCCCAGCCCTTTATGATAAAAGCCTTCCCTTAATTTCAGATTCAAAGCATTTGTGTGCTTCCGAACAATAAACACTCCTCACTAGCAAAACAGATAGATAGCTGGATTAAGTTTTGCGAATTGAAATATAAATAGATTCATTAAGAATGGACACACATGAATGGTAGATGAATTTGATGAATTCGAGTGAGCGCGACAGCTGCCATCGGATTATTTCACTTACCAAATTTTGATAGATATAACAAACATTTTATACAAATAAAAAAGTACCGGTAGAATTCCCTGTCTGCAAACCGCAGCACTTCCGCGATCAAATTCAGCATCGCGTGAAATATTGTGTAAAAGCCAATCAACCATATGACAATATTAGGTATTGCCAATTTTAAGAGCCTCTCAAGACTTCTGAAAACATGAACGATTGCCAAACACATTTGAGAGAATAGAAAACTTGTAAAAGGGGTGAAACTCTGAATGACCTGCCAAATTCCATTTCGTTAAGTGGGCGCATGCTATTGTGCACAGTTGGAACAATCCACTGCTGTACCAAAGCTGCTACCAAAAATGTAAGGAATACCAACTAAAAGAATGTTTTGTGACTAAAAATTAATTAAAACTGGAACAGGAACTAAAATGAGAGAACTTACCTCGACGAATCTTTTGATGAGAAACCACTTCCGTCGTCGAACAGATCGCGGAAATTTGAGCTCGTAACATAGGGTTGGAGCCAACATGAAGTAATAGAGA